CCCCACCCACCCGCCACTCCTGCCCCTCAAAGGCCTTCAGGCCAAGGCAGTGGAGCGGATCGCTACCCCCGGAAGTGGCCAGGTCACAAAGACCCGGGTCATTAGCCTTGGGTTTCTCCGACTCAGTAATACATCCTGACCACACCAGGTCTCCCCTCTTGGTCCCTAGTCACCCCCCCCCCCTGTCTGGTCCTTAAAGAGGACTACCTCGGACCCCCCTGGGGGTCAGTTCTGCTCTGTCCCTCGGGGTCACCGTGAGTGGCATGGACTGGAGGGGAGCAAGAAGGACACGTCTTCCCTCCTGGCCTAGAGATCATTGGGGCCCTCTCCCCACCAGCCCCCCTGTGTCTGGCCAGCCCAGTGCATGCATTTGGGGTCCAGGTGGGTGAGGAGTGGGTCCTCAGTAGAACCCCATGGGACCCCTTCTCGGAAGGGCTCACAGAGGGAAGCGCTCACCCACCTTTGAGCTGCAGGAAAGTCAGAAACTCGCTGAGCATGCTCGCCACGCTGTTCTCAGACAGCGGCCTGTCGTAGCTTCCTGGAAGAGAGGAGGACAGCGTCCATGACTCCCCATGGCAGGCATCCTCGGGACCCACGGTCACCACACATGGTCTTGGGAAGACCCTGCCGGGGGTGGCAGGAGCGATGTGGCCTGCCTCTCCTTCTGGCCTGGAAGGGAGCCCCTGTCCTCTGTGGCCCAATGGACATGGGTGATGGCCAGGTGGGGTCAGCCCAGCCCCGGCCCGCATGCCCCCCGAGGAAGCCCTCACCTGGCCTGGCCTCATCATCTGGCTGCAGCTCCCGCTTGCCCGCAAGGCCATGCTTCTCCTGGAAGGACCGGTGGTTGTCGATGGCATCTGCCCACAGATTAGAGGGGGATTCATTACAGATAGCGGAACCCACCAAGAACAGAGGGGGAGGGGGAGGCAGCCAGGACCTGACACGAAACCAAGCCCAGCCCAGGCAGTGCCAGAGGAAGGGGAGGGGACACCCAGAGGCATAGCCCCGAGGGAGCACCTGGCTGGGAGGAGCTTGGACCCCGCACCTCAAAGGGTCCCAGGCATGCCAGGGTGCAGGCTGGGATCTCCCAGGCAGATGGTGGGGCTGGGGTCCTTACATGCCTGAACTCAAGGGGCTACTGAGGAATCTTAAGTTCTGTCATAGCCTAATTTTTAGTTTTTCAAAGGCTGGGAGCTAGCTGCGAGGATGACGGATTGGAGCATGTGAGCGTGTGCATCTGAGTGTGTATGTATGCACATGTATGTGTGCATGTGTGTGCAGGTGAGTATGTGCATGCATGCATGTAAGTGTGTGCATGTATGCATGTGTCTGTGTGCATTCGTGTGCATGTATGTGTGCATGTGTCCAGGTGAGTGTGTGTGAATACATGTATGTATACATGTATGTGAGTGTCTGTGTGCATATGTGTAAATGTGTGGGCGTGCCTATAATGTGAGTGAGTGTGTGTGTGTGTGTGTGTGTGTGTGTGTGAGCAAGAAGTCCCAGAAGAAACAGTCACAGGCGTCCAGGAAAAAAGACTGGCAGCTCTCAGCCCAGTAGCGTGGACCAAGCAGAAGGGCTTGGAAGGAGGAGAAACAGCAGGGCTGCAGGCCAGCAGGGACCGGGGGGACTCTGCCCAGCAGGGGGCTGTGGGGACTGCGATGTGACTTCCAGGGTGAGACAAAGACACTGAGCTCCTCCTTCCAGAGCCTGCGTCCTGGGCAGGAAGCCTGGGGAGGAAGGAGGGCGAGCCCGCCCTTCCCGCCCAGACGCCGAGTGTGATCACAGCCAGACTGTCTTCAGAGCCCGCCGCGTGCAGAGCGGGTCTTCAGCCATCACCCATCGCCCACGTGGACAGCTGCCGACAAGTCCGGGGCAGACCTGCACTTGGCCTTGCAGCAGGGTTGGCTTCCCAAGAGCTCCCTGGCAGCTACGTTTCCAGTCGGCGGTCCCTGCCTTTCAAAGGGGATTTGGTCCTTGCTCACAGAGCCTGTGGAACAGGGTAGGACCACACCTTCAGGTTTCCAAGGTGATGCATCTTTATAAGGACAGAAGGAAAGCCTCCTCTTTCTCCCTCGGAGAGGCTGAGTTCCAACCCGAACCGCTGACACTTCGGCCAACAGCCCCACGGGTTACCCAAGCATCATGGGGGCTTAAGGACGCTGCTCTGTTCTGTTGCTACACGTGCCTACCATTCTTATCTCACCTGACTTCAGTATCAAAAAAGGCTCCAAGCTTTTCCACTGATTTAGAAATTGCACGGGCAGTAAGCGAAGGTGTGGGTGACGGGAGCTTGTCACATGTTGGGGGTGGCTCCGAACCCTGGTGGCGCAGTGGTTAACTGCTCAGCCCCTAATTCAAAGGTCAGTGGTTTGAACCCACCAGTCACTCGGCGGGGAACAGATAAGGCCGTCTGCATATCCATAGAGATGTGCAGCCTGGGAACCCCCCAGGGGGCTTGTTCTCTGTCCCACAGGGGTCCTGTGTGCGGGGGTCACTTTGACCACAGTGGCTTTGGGTTTTGTGTAGGTGCCAGCTCAATGGTTTCAAAACCCAAACCCACTGCCACCAAGTTGATTCTGACTGCTAGGGGCCCCACCTATGGTTTTCAGAACATTCTCCTCGTTTTTTTCCCCCTACGGAGACCGCCTTCTTTGTGGGAGGAGAGACAGGGACTTGGGGTGGTTTTTAGGGGTCCCTGGCCGTGCCCCACATGGCAACGGTGACAGCTTGGTGGGGAGGAGGTTGGAGGAGAACGTGGATTAAAGGAGAGCCTCCGTTAAGATCCCAGATCCCATCTTCCTGCCTGCAGGAAGCGGGGTGTGGGAGAGAGGCAGCTGCGGTGACCCAGAGTTGATGGCACGGGGCCCAGACGTCCCCAGTCATTGCCGCCTCCTTTCCCGCCAACACCCATGAATCAGGCGGCAGTGAGCAGCCCCTGGAGGCCCCGGGACGCGGTATGCCAACCTGTCAAGGCAGCCGTGTAGCCAGACAGACTCGCATCGCAGGGTTTACTGCAGCTGGGTGGAATGACCACCCCTCCACCCGACTCCACGTCCCAAGAGCACACAGAGCGAGGAGGCAAGGAGCAGGCGTCCACTGGGGGTAGGGAGAGCGGAGGGGTGCAAATCCACCCCCTGTCCTTTGTGAGGGCGGCTGGAAGTTGTCTGAGCCTCCTCCCCAGCCTGCCCGGCCCTCGGCCCTCGGGTCACGTGGGGAGTCCTGCTGCAGCTGTCAAAGGGGGCCCACCTTAGAGCTCACCACAGACAGCGACGGGCCTCCCTGGTGGCATGTGGTTACGTCTTGTGCTGCTAACCCACAAGGTCAGCAGTTCGAAACCACCAGCCGAGAGAGGAAGACGAGGCTTTCAACACCCGCCAAGTTAGCCTCAGCAACAAACCCCCAGGGGCAGTTCTACCCTGTCCTGCAGGCTCGGGACCCACTTGATGGCCATCAGTTTAGGGAATTTTGGATGGATTCACCAGGATGCAGCTTGGCAGGTCCACATTTCTAGAGGTCGTCCAGCCCCTCCCCTGGCCTCTCCCAGGGTCCATGGCGACTCAAGAAAGCCCACCTGCCCACAGCCTCCACAGGGGGCTGTCTCCAACCCATCCCCCAAAGTCAGATGTACTAAGGGGCCCCTTCCCCGCTCCTCCTCTCCTTCAGGCATTCCTTCAACCCCCTCCTCTCCTTTCCCCTCCTCCCTCACCTCTGCCCCCTCCCCCACAGGCATTTTACTCCTTCAAGCTGCTGCCCACCCTGCCTTGATTCCATCTAAAAGCCATCCTCAGGTAGGGGGAAAGGTGGCTCTGAGCCCTGGCCCCTCCCAGGCTCCTGCAGATGACAATGAGGGGTGGGGTTGGAGCAAGAGAACAGGACCACCCCTGATGGGGTACCCCAGGGGACGGGGAAGTTCCCTTTGGAGCTCTGAGGAATCAGAGGTATGATTGTGGTGAGGGTGTTCAGGGGCCACAGGGAGTCAGGGAGGAGGTGTAGACGGAGCACCTGCCAAGGACCCAGGGAGGAGCCTGGGCAAGGTGCTTCCAGTCAGCACAGAAGTCCCTCAGGACCTGGGAGAGGTGCCGTGGGAGATGACCCCAGGGGAGGTTCCAGCAGCGAGGGGTGGGGTGGAAGAGGCGGGTGGGAGGGAGAGGGAGAGGAGGGATGCAGGCATGGGTGAAGGGCCCTGCCACCCAAGGATAGGGGTCAGGATCCAAAAGAGTGAAGTGCCAAGGTAGGGGGGCAGACAGGGTCAGAAGCCCCCTGCAGGCAGGCTGCCCAGGAGGGGACAGGGAAGGGGAGAGAGGGGTTGGGAATGGCTCCTGTCAGGGACTGAGAGGTGCAGCCTAGGGCCCCACCAAGCGCTAGCACCCACGGGAGAAGCCCAGGCCCTGAGGGTTCAGGGTCTTTGGGAACGTGGCCCACCCCTTCCCTTCATCTGACCCCGCGCACGCGCCGCGCGCGGGTGCATTAACATATCGGAAGACCAACTGGGGACCCGCCTGGCCAGGCTGCCCCTCACTTACGTGGACCAAGCAGGTAGCCCGCACTGTTCAGGGTCCAGCCTCTTTTTTCCTTGGCCTTAAGGGGGAGAGATGGGGGTCAGGCAGAGAGGCTGTGCCCAAGACCGCGGTTCGCCCACCGACTCCCAACCCCTTAGTCTAATCACCCAGCCCCCACCTTTCCCGGGAAACAGGGCAGGTGCTGCGCTAGGTCGGCCCCTCCAGAGCAGGGATGCTGGGCTGTGTCCCCGCCATCCGCGCACGGGACCCAGGGGCCGAGCCCAGGGAGGCACACAGGTTGTGCGAACCTCTCCACGCGGGCTAGCCCGCGACAGGGCGCCCCGGGACCGTGTGTAGCCGAGAAGACTTTTTACTCGCGGTTCTGGGGGTGCCGGCGCCCTCAGCCCACCCCCCTGCAGCAAGGA